TTTTTTTATAATATATTAAATATATTCATACATAAATAAATAAATTAATAAAATGAATATGTGAAAAAACTAAATTTTGTGAATAAGCAAAAGCATGTTATAAAAATTTTTCAAAAGAAATGCTGTTAAATATTACCCATGTTAACATGTTAAATTTACCATGTTAAATTTATACTGTTAAACAAATATAAATTAAGTATACACAGTGTACACATATGGCTCAACTGGTGGCTCAATGACTGTTTGTATTTCTTTTATCACTCACAGGTATATTTTGTTTATATCTTTACTCATTAACATGTATTTTCAATGTGTTTGTATCTAGATCTGCAACAGACATAACCTTCAAACACATAGTACATATAACATTCAAAAATACATATTTTTTTCATTAACATGCATTTTCAATGTGTTTGCATCCAGATCTGCAACATATAAAACTTTTAAACATACAACAATCATCTAGGTTATACTTAAAAAATTCAGAATATATTTTGCAAAAAAAATTTAACAAATGTTAAACAATGCAGAATAATTTATTTTATAAATTTAGCATTCGGCTGGTGGATTTCTCAACTTTATGATAAGTGATAATTGAAAAAGTTAACAAAAAAAGGTATTACAAAATTATATTTTTAAAAAAAACTTATGGCAAAAAAGATTAGTTAAAAGAAAGATAAACGGAAATAAAAAATCATCAAACATACATCAATTAGGAGAATTTAGGAGTATTTAAGAAAATCACCTATACTTTAGGAGAAATTAGGTCTTTTTAGGATGTTTTTCAAATACTAGGACATTTTAGGATTTTTAGGAGGCGTGGCCACCCTAAGAAAGTGCCATTGCTATTGATGTGCGAGTGAGATAAAGTGAAGTACGATTCATTGCCCAAAATGCAACACTTTTTTTGAAACTTTTTACCCAGCTGGCGGCATCATGGTCTAATCTTTGCTTTTTGGTCCTCCATTCCTTTGGGAACCTAAATTTTTTTTCTTTTATGGATTCTTGTATAGACTTGTTTTAAAAATTTTTTTAAATATGCAAGAAGTCTATATTGACTGACAAATACTTAAAACAGGTTGCTTTTTTAATGTAAAACATGCGTGGAGTGTTCCTACATTGACTACATTTGATAATAATAAAAACAAGATTAAAAAATTTAATGGATTTTATGGAGGATGCAAAAAAATTCATTCTTTACAGCCATTATTTATGTTTTAAGTCATATTTATTTATTTGTTTTAAGGATCTTTTTTGTGACTTTATTTTAGATTTTTTAAACTTTACTCCAGAATAAATGATAATTTTAGAATTAGTAATAGTAAGTGCACCTGATATCAGGAAGAAAAAAAAAGGTAGTTTGAACATGTAGAACATAAAGAAACAGATGAACATTTTCATTTCAAATTTTTCTTACAATTAGGCTTTCTCTATGGTCTGAATTAAGGTATTTTAGAGACCATAACAAATGCATGATTAAAAATTTATTCTTACTAATTAAATATTAACATAACTAGAAAATTAATATAAGTTAAACCAACAATATTACGTAAATAGTAACACCTAGATTTTATTCCAGTGCCTTTTTATTACTTTATTAATAAGTTTATCAACTTTTCTAAGTGTTGTAACTATTGGTAAAATTCTCTCTTTTTCTTTTTCTTCTTTATATTTGTTGTAGACAAGTTTGCGTTGTGTATATCGTAGTGCTTTTTTAAACCCTTTGTTAATTGATTGAATAGGGTAGCCTTGTATAACTAAAATTTGTGCTAGTTGCTGCAGCTCTTTTATTAAGTTGTAATATTAATGTAACAGTGTTGTTGTATCAGCTGCCTTTTTGTATACTGTTGTTTCTAACTATCTATCTAGCTTTTTGATAATTGTTAGGTCCACGAAATTAATAGAATTTTTAGAATTATTAAAAGTAAATTTGGGGTGTATATCATCTATAAATTGTTTATAATAAGAAATCTACACCGAAAATTGGTCAGTTATTTTCTTACAAATTCTTCCAATAAATAAATTAGCATAGGGCGAGGCCATACATGTTCCCTGATTGTTTATGTTAGGAACTGTCTACCTTTTTTATGATAATTGTGGAATTAAACATAAGGGAGTTTAGTGTGTAAAAAAATTTAGGAGATTTATTCATCATTTGGTAATTGTGAGAAAACAAGTGTGGCTATATCACATTTTACCAAGTAACTTATACAGGCTTGGTCGGGAAGCGGGAGCGATCGCTCTCGATTGCTGACCACGTAAATAATAATTAGTTGCGAAAAGCTGGCCAGATTTTATAGTCGTTTTGAGAACATTTTAAAAAGCAAAAAAAAAAAAGCGACCAAGAATAATTGGACCGATGAGAGACAATTACAAAAAAAAAAAAAGTAGGAAACTAAAATATCTTTAAACGCGAAAAAACTTAAGCTAAATAAATTACATTTAAAACAAATATTTTCGAAACATCGCTTTTTTATAAATTTTTTTATAAAATTAAGCGATGATTTTTGTAACTACTTACCAATGTTTAAAAGGGAACAAATATTCTTTATTTAACTAAGTTTGCAAGTTTTAGTTTTACTTAAGCTAAATTATTTTATAAATAAAAAAATTAATTTTTTTGATACCTATTTTATGTTTCGCGTAGTTTGAAAAGTTTAACATATTTGAAGCGATTCTTCTTAGTAACATAAACAAATGAAATAATTAAATCATTGAAATACTATAGGAATTAAATTATCAAGATAGAAATCAACTAAAAAGGTTAAAAATACTTAATGACCAGGAAGCGAAACTGCTTCACAATATCGCTGATGATGTTTAGTGAGTGGGCTTTTTAATTTTAATTAGTATTTAAAGCAGAAAAAAGTATAACGAGTTTTAAGAATGGCAACTTAAGCGAAAATAATTAGAGTTAGTAAACCAATATCTAGAAACTCTTCTTTATATCTAATTATTTGCTATTATATATTTGTGTTCTGTCGTGACCTCAGGCGCGATGCTTGTTCATCCGCAAGTTACTTTGTATGCGTTGTTTGTGTTTAGTAACCAGAAACTTCTTATGTGTTTGTTACATAATTAGTTTTATTAACTTTAACAATTATAACTTTGAAAAACGCAATTATTTTTTAAGTCTTTGTTTAAATCATAAAACTTGCTTCAAAAGATCAAAAGACATTACGATAAAAAACAGATACACAAAATTACATTTACATAAAGAATACAATCTCTTTTAAAATAAAAAATAAGAATATACAAATAAAATCTATAATTTATAATAAACTTTTAAAATATTGACAATTTAATTAATATATATTTAAAACATTTATTTTCGTAAACAAATAATATGTATTCTTAAAACAATACTAGAAATCTCAAAACGTAACAAATCGTTAATAATACAATTTCTAAAACATTTTAACAAAATGCACTAGAACTTTATTTCGCTTAATCAGCATTTTTTTTGAACTAATAGAATTAGTTTGTTTGTTAATTTGGCGGGTTTTTAGTGTTCGCAAATATTCTTTTTATTCTTTCGCACAAAGATGTTTTGAGAACATTCAAGTTTTTTATGTTTCCATGTATGTCCGTAAAACAAAAATTCTTTGTTTCGTACATAAACTTAAATGTTCTCAAAACGACTAAAAAACCTGGCCAGTTTTACGCAACTAAATATAATTTCTGTCGTCAGTATTTGAGAGCGATCGCTCCCGCTTCCCGACCAAGCCTGCTTATAATAGTTAAGTTTTTCATCTAGGGAAGACTAATTTGATTTTTTATAAAATGGATGCCCCACTATCTCTTTGGTCCCAAAATAGAGTTGTTGGAGAAAAGTTGTTCAATCTTTCAAAAGCCATTATGTGAAAATTAAGAGGCATATTTGTAACTGAAGGAACAAAATTTAATCCCAAACTTAAAAGCTCTTTCTCATTGTCTGTTAGGATGTGTTTTGATACGCTGGTTATTAACTTATTATTGAATTGATGTAAGAAATTTGGTTTAGCTTGAATAATTTCTTTTTTATATTATCTCATGTTGCTATGTGGTGTTGCTAAAAACAATTTTAGTTGAGAAAAAAAGACACGAGACCTTCAGTAAGAGACAACATAATTAGTTAAGTTAATTTTAGTCACAGACAACAGTGAGATGCCAACACAGAGTTAATGTTTGTGGATTTGTAACTTAGTGATAAACACCATTAAACGATATAATAGGATAATCAAACTAAAATAAATTTACATAATAAATATCAGTTAATACATACTAGAACAATGAATGAATAACTTAAAAAAAAATATTTTTGTGATATCACCATGATATAATACGTGATAATATAATATGTTTTTTTTTTTTAAATATAGTTTTCTCAATGGTCCAAATTAACATAATCTTGAAACCATAACTAAATCAAGATTACTAAAAATAAAGTTTTCTCTGCAGTCCGGTCCGGGTTATCAATTTTCTATTTTTGTTAACATTTAATTAGTCAGAATAAATTTTAAATCTTGCATTTGGTATGGTTACAAAAATATATTAATTTGGACGGTAGAGAAAGTGATGATCTTAGAATTGGGAATAGTGAGTACAACTGATAACAGGAAAAAAAAAGCTAGTTTGAACATGTAAAACATAAAGATAAAGATGTAAAGTTATCAGGTACAAAAGAAAAGGTTATTTGAGGTTTATTGTACACCAAAATCTGTTTTTGAAAGCTTTAAAAACTTTACCTCCTAACAGTTTTCAACTAATTTATACGATTTATATGATGAACCAAAATTAAAAATTAAACTTATAAGATTATACTGTAAATAAAATTTTGCTTTGAAACAATTATATATTAGAAGTCAAAAAAACACATTTTAAAATAACTGAAGAAAAGTGTTATTCAGAAATAAAATTCTTAATCTACAACAAATCAAAATGGCAACCTTAAAAAATCAAAATTTTGGTGGAAATAATAAGGGCCCAGGTGCACAAATAAATTAGGTATAAACTATAACCTCTTGTCTGAGTTCCGAGAATCCTTTCAGGACTTTTGTATCTTCAATTTGCATTTTTAAAGAAGATTCTGTCTCTGGTATATACATAGAACTTGTTTCTACATCTTCTGATGTTATAGTCAATTTTCTAAATAAATTTTTTTTAAGACAATTCTAAAATTTTAATTTAGTTCTCAAATTTTAATTATTTTCATATGAAGCTCAAATAAAGAAACTATTTAAAATTATTTTTAAACAGTTTTAAAAAAAAACCTTACCTGGAGGTAGTAGCAGAATGAAACTGTTTGATTGCAACTTGTTTGTCCTTGTATCTACCTAAATAAACACCACCTGAACCCCCTTCACCTAATCGATTACTTTCAGCTGTGTTAAAATCCAAATTGTTTGAAGAAATTACAAACTCAGAAGGTAAATCAGTTAACAACAAATCAGGTACAAGTAAATTCAAAGGAACAGAAACATCTGGATGTCTAGCACACAAGATGTGTTGATGATTTACTGCAGCTAATGCACAAACATTTAAAGTAAAAGAATACTTTTTATGAAGAGAATTGTTTTCAAGCTTGGAAACACATATAGGACAAGGAATCAATTTGCTGACAAGTGAATCACCAAATTCATCAACATCTTCAAGCCCTGTAGTAATAAAGGTAATTAACTAAATTAATGTTAAAAAAAATAAATTATTTTTAACAAAATAACATTTCTAAATTTTCATAAAATTAAAGGCATAAAATTTCATAAAATTAAAGGCACCTGGATACCACTCTGTTATTAACGCATCTAAATGATCAACAATAAATGCCATAGCAGAATAATTGCGTTGTTGTGATGCAACAGTAATTGCAATACCTTTTTCAACTTGATCAACATTGTCTAACTATAAAAAACATAATTATACAATAACTTTCAATTGTTCCAAAACTCAAATGATAAAATCATTAAGATGTTTTACTTTAGTAGATTTTTGTATTTCACTAAACACGGGCTGTAACTGTATCTAGCATAACTATTTGTTGTTTTATAATGAAGCTAAAGACTTAAAAATTTCAGAAAATATTTATACTTTATATTATACTACATTAATATACTTATATAATGATATACTTTAATTTTTTTATATTTAGAGGATTAAAAATTTTTACTTGCTTAAGCAGAAATTGACAGTAACTTTAATGAATATTCTTGTCGTGTCAACTTTATATTTAAAAGATTGAGGTATTAAAGATTAACTAAAATTTTTAATATTGCAACTATTGTTGGAGGGAGCAATCTTATATCTATTTTCAGTCTTACATTGTTATGAGATAGAAGTAATAATTTCACAAGTCATCTGCAATAGTTAAACTGATTCAAGTCTATTTAAATTTTTATTGATAAAAATATAGCATACTTTAATGTAAAAATAAATGTACTTTACTTAATAAATAACTAATACCCCTTGATGATTTCAAAAAAAAAAAAAACATCAAGTCACTTTTATTGCTGAAGTCAAAATTTCAACAACAACAAAAAAAACCTGGCTCAAAGTACATACCTTGTTAGTGGTAGTAATCTTCAATAATAATCACATATTTGATTTGAGATCAACCTGATCATGATTTCACAATAAAAATTACTCTCTTTAAAGATGAAATAGAAATGAAAATGTAAAAATGCTCCTAGATAAACTATCTGCATACTTTTGATAATGTTACAAAATAAAATATGTGTGTACTTTTGATAAAATTACTAAATAAAATATATGTGTACTTTTGATAAAGTTACTAAATAAAATATGTGTGTACTTTTGATATAGTTGAACTATGAGTGCCGTATTTATATATGATACCTAGGGGCATTAAAATATATAGAAACAATAGAGTCCAAATTAAAGTGACTTATATTAGAAAAAAACTCACATTTTCAACAAAACTTTCAACAAGGAAATAACAATTGTTGAATAAAACAAGAATTCCTTCTCTCCAAAATATTGTCTTGTAATCTTCTTCGTTTACTTCAGCACTTAAACCTGTTCCCCACCTCGTAAGAGCAATAATAGTTCGTGCTAAAATAATTATAAATATATAATTATTTTAATTATAAATAATATACAATTATAAATAATATACAAAATTATGCAAAACACAAGTTATGATTATCTTATTGACCAGACAACACAAATTTATCTTTTTATATCATAAATAAAATAAATTTCATTATTAAATTGAGATATAAACTAAATCTCATAACTGAAAAAACATTTTAGCTGACTCTTTAGTTTGTTAATTTTAGTGAAATTCTAAATTAAATTTATTTAAGTAAATTTCAATTTCAATTTACTAACTTTTTAGCCACAACCTCAGGAAGTACAGTACTCCAATAAAAAAAACATTTATTTAAAATAATAATTTTGTGCATTGACAGCGATAAAATAATACTAAGACGCCTTTAAAAAAAATGCCCTTTTAAATTTTCCTAATGTATGCTAAATTTATATTATAAGCCAACTAATTTTAGTCAAATGATATTTGATTTACTTTAGCCAACATAATGTTTAAATAGGGATTTGGATATGTGAAAGAAAGACAACAAGTAATTATTTTTCAATTTTTGATTTAAAAATTTTATTCTAATATTTCCGGAAAATTCTCAAACTTTTTACCAAACTATTATATAGTATTACAGAAATATTTGCAATATAATATAAAATACATTTATAATAAATAAATTTATAACATAATATAAATTTATAATATAATATATCATAAATTTACATTAAAATATGTCATGTAATAATAAATTTTAAACAAATAAGTTTAGAAATTTTTTTGTTGCAAATTGTTATTTGTAATAAACTATTATACTTTTACAAAAAGTAGTTTTATTTAAATATTATTTAAAAACTTTGGCATATAAAATTCGCCGAATGGTCACACACGAGCAGTGAACGCCTGAGGGAAGAAATGAAGTATATTAGAATAAAGGAGAATTATTTATTAGACAAAGCATTTTTGACAGTTGTCAAGACAAAAATAAAAAATTAATAGAGGAATATTTAAAAATAAATAAGACAAGCTATACAACCAAAACAGTACTCAACCATAATAACAATAAAAAAAAAAAAATAATAAAAAATAAAAAAAAAAAAAAATAAATAAAAACAAATAATAATAAAATATATATATATATAAATAAATAAAAAAAATTGTTTTATAATTACCAATATGAACTAAAATATACAAGAAATACATAACCAGTCAAAAATTTGTAAAACAAAAAACTATTCAACAAATTAAAAATATGCTAACGACAATGAAAGGACTAATAATGGAAAAAAAACATTAATGCTAATGTGTAAACATAATTAGTGTAGTGATAAGTAATAAACATCTCCTCAGAGTCGCGTCTATTATTACTGGCGTTTCGATGAGGATCAGCATTTATAACTAGTTTATCCCGTCAGACAAACGTCATTGCCACTTATGCTTTACCCCGCGACTTTACCCCGCGTCTATAAACTATTATACTTTTACAAAAAGTAGTTTTTTTTTTTTTTATTTTTAATTTTATTTAAATATTAACATATATTTGTAATTATCTGTACCTCTTTGAAATTATCTCTACCTCGTTGAAATCTACTATTTTTAGTTGGTCTATTTTATCAAAATAAACAACAAATTTTTGAATAACAAATTTAATTGATAAATATTAAGTGATATTTAAAATAATATATTTTAAATATCACTTAAAATTATGTTATATTTGATCAATTTTTATAACATCAAACCTTAATTCACATATTATATCAGATACAAGTTCTTCAAAAACAATATGCATTGATATTCCAATCAGGGGTCATTTATTTTTACTCAAAGTGAGAATTTTGAAATTAACAATAAAATTATTGATTCATTTATTTAATCAAATGAACACTGCTGAGCAATATGCAGAAGTCATCATAAGATGATGAATCATCATGAAAATGTTTTTTTGAAAAGATGGAGATTATCAGAGCATTATTAAATAAATGTTCTATTACGATGATGAATGTCAAAATATTTTTTTTTAAAAAATAACTTTTTAAAAACATTGCTCTATTTACTCTTAAAAGTTACAAATAGTCAGCAAAAAAAAATCACACATGTAATTTTTTAATTGAAAAATACAATACAATACATCAATAATGATAATAAACTTGCTTGCAACCAGGAATATCAAGGTTTTCAAAATAAAATAAAATCATTAGCTTCATGTTAAGAAATGGAAAGGGTTTTTTAACTTGATGAGACCATTGGTTTTAAAGCATGTGATTTTTGCCTAAATATTGATTAAAAAGAAATTAAAATCTGGCACGGTGTCTTTGAACTAATATTTATAATAACAAATTTGTGATTAAGAATTTGTTAAAATCTGTATGACTGTAACAGACAAAAACATATTCAGTAGATACCAGTAATTTTCAACTTATTTTTTTAAAGAAATCAATTTTAATCTATCTATCTAGTTATATTTTAAAATAATCTAATCTTTCTATTTAATATTGTTTCTATTTATTATTATTATTAAAGTACTACTAAAATTATGTGCAACAAAAAATCAGTTTTATTTCTTTTATCTCAACATTTAGAAATTTATATTTCTAACCTTGATTGCTTTTTCTCATAAATAATCAAAACAATCTTCCAAAAATACAGAGGATGCAGGTGGTGCTAATAACTTAAGTGCTAACTTATTTAACAGTGGAAACTTCTCTTCATGTTTCTACTAATTTAAAACGTTTGACCAGATTTATTACTTATCTTGCTTATCTGCTTTCCACATGGAGTGCAAACTGATGTGAAATCACCGCTATCATTAATTTTGTAAAGATTCTAAACAAAACTTGCCATTTTGAAGGTTCACCACTGTAATATTTTGTAATAATAAAATATATATTTTAGGATTTGAATTTCATTATCCTGTCAGATAATATTTAAATATCTAGTTATTTGATATCCAGTCGATTTATAAAAAAATGTTATACCCCAACACCCCTAATTTTTTACTCATGTTCCTGTAAAAAAGGGTTATTTTACATTAAAGTCGTATAATTTGATGAACTTATGTAAATAAAACATTTATAAAAAAAACTGAGGTCCTTATTTTGCAACTTATTTGAATTTAGATAGACGCTAACAAAAAAAAAAAAAAAAATTTTTTAAATATTTAGTCAGGCTATTTGCAAGAAATGTAGTAAAAATATATTATGTAAAGGTTCATTGATATGTATATTTATTTTAAGTATGTTAAACATTTGAATTTACTGTAGATTTAAGGTTACTTATGTGTCCTGTTTTGTTTTTATTTCTATTACATGTCTAAATTATCATTATTTTTTACTGCACGCATTACTATAGTGTCTTTGTTTTTGTTCTTAACATCTGTTCAATATATATTTTACATTTTTTTACCCTTTCTCTCTTCTTAATTTTTTCCTTATTTCACTTGGCTTGACAGCTCGGTCTAGTCCTTTAATGCATATTTTTGCATTTTTATAGATATTGTCAAGAGTAGTTGCGGTAAACAGCATGACGATTACAGCTATATGTAAATTAAAAGCCACAATTGAATTTGCTTATGATGAGAATTACAACAATAATTTTATTAATGACACATATAAAGATAGCTATTTTGTTGATGTTAATCTCATTAAAGAACCTTTGACTAAAGAGGGCGCAACAAATAGTGCTGATATTTATTCTTATATTGAGTGACACAAGAATAAAAAAATTAATTTTTTGCTAATAAATAGCAATTTTTCTAAGATTGCACAACCATAAGACATTAAGGCTCAATTAACAGCTGAATTAAAAGACTTAAAAGCAATAACAATTTCAGACTTAGTTCAACTGATGATGAATATACATTAAAACTGTTATATGAATATTAATATGCACACAAATGGAAGCCTCTATAATCTTGGACTTGCACATATTGTTGGGTGTATGCCATCTGAAAAAGCTGTTGAGATAGTAAGTGAAAATCAAGTGAATTCAAACCGGAATTTAATAATGATATTGTTAGTACAACTACAGATTGTGCATCAGTTATGGTTAAATTTAGCTGTTTAATCAATCCACTACATCACATTTACTATGCCCATGCAATCCATTTAGCAGTAGGGGATGTACTTTATGTGAAACCAACTGAAATTTTAGACCAAAACGATAATTTTGAAATTGATATTAGTGAGGATGACAGTGAGGATGATAGTGAAGAGCTTAATAAAAGTGAAGAGTTGGGCAACAGTGCATTTGAAAATAGTTCAGTAGATGCTGTTGTTATAAAAGATTATTTTTCAATTAAAAAAAAGTTCACACGATAATAAAATTGTTGAAAAATAACTTGATGATGATGTGTTGCAGAAGCATGTAAAATCAGAGTTTGGACATGAACTTAAACTTATTTTAGACTACAAGACACCTTGGAATTCATTATTTGATATGGTTGAACACTTTGTCAAGTTAAGCAAATGTATTAAAATGGCACTTATTTAAGTGCAGTCCCTAATAAAAATATCAGATTCAGAGCTGCTAATTCTTAAAAATTAGGAGCTGAAGCACTTTGCCATCAAGACTCAAATTTGCTTACAGCAGTAAAAAGTGTTTGTTTTATTTTAAGTCAACTACAATCATAAAAATACTAACAATGATTTTGAAAATCAAAGGAGAAGAAAATTTTGATATGAAAACACAGATAGAAAAATCAAAGTGCTGAGCTAAAACAAGTAATTAATAAAGATATCAGTATAAAATCTCTCTATAAAGAATTTTCTTTTTTTGAATCAACAAAAAAACGTACTTCTAATTTGGAGATTTTATTTCAGTGTTTAAAAACTATCCAACCAACATCTGTTGAGAGTGAATGAGCTTTTAGTGCATACGAATTAGCTTAAATGATAATACTATTGATACCTTATGCTTTTTAAAAAGTTACTACAAAAATAATAAACGTAATGAAAATTAAAACTAAAACAGGTTTGTTAATATGAAATGCTACAAAGAATTTATTTCACAAAGTAAACTG